TTGTCCATGGCATTCTTCTCCAGCTGCTGCTGCAGCTCGGCCAAGGCATCATCGCGCTCCTGCAGCCGGCCTTCAAACGCCGCCTTGTCCATGGCATTCTTCTCCAGCTGCCGCTGCAGCTCGGCGAAGGCATCGTCGCGCTCCTGCAGCTGGCCTTCAAGCCCGCCTTGTCCATGGCATTCTTCTCCAGCTGCCGCTGCAGCTCGGCCAAGGCATCATCGCGCTCCTGCAGCCGGCTTTCAAGCCCCGCTTTTTCTTTTCTTTTTTCTTGTGGGCTGGGCTCTTGATGAGATACGGGTGTGTCGTGGAATTTCAACTTGCGTTGTAGTTCGTTTATTTTTTGAAAAGGCTTTTGTGGCGTTCTCTTCATTGTTTCATGGTTATGGTCATGTTTGTTGAATGGTGTTTGTTCCTTTTTGTTTTTGGTTATATTTTGTTGCAGTTCGCGTTGAAGTGCCGCCTTGTTTGCTGTAGTTTTTTGGAGGTGGTGTTCCATTTTGGCTATAGCTGCTGCTAGTTTCTTGGACGGCATTGACAGCTCTTCAGGTGGCGTCGTCTGAGGTGCTTCATTGTTGTTTATGTCGCTTTGGCTGCATGCCTCCCTTTCCGGTTGAAGGACGTAGTGAGAGCTGTGGTGTCTTTCCTGTACGGAGGCTAGAAGTTCCTTGCACTGGTGGTGCTGCAGTGTAATGATGTTGCCCCTGTGTGGCGCGGGCCCCAGCCTGCATAGCACGCTGTAGATGGAAATGATGCGTCGCTGGGGCGTCGACGTGTAGTGCCATGATAGACTCATTGCGTGCGGAGTTTCTTCTATGCAGACGGTTGTAGGCGTTTCGGTGAGTGAGCGGTGTGGACTGGCGCTGTGGCTATCGCCGTTGGTGAGGCTTCTGGAGGCAGAGTGGCCGGAGTGACCGAACTCCTCCACCTCCCTAAATTGTTGCCACAGCGCTTCAACTTTGCCACTCACCTCCGCTATTTTTTCCGAGTCCTCCCGCATCAGCAGCTCCATTCCGTCAAGCTCAGAACTGCGACAGGCGTGCAGTTGACTCATGTGCGTTTTGTGCTCGCTGGCGTTAATCATTAGCACGTGTGCCACGACCCACCTGTACAGTTCTGAGAGGGCGCTGCTGCCTTTGATAGCCTCCTCGTAGGTGAACTTTGGGGCGTTGATGTACCGCGTCAATACCTCCTCGCGCTGCGCTCTGGTCAACTCAGTGGAGTCAAAGCTCACCAGCAGCTGCACCAGTCCTGGGCGGTGCAGGATGGGCGTGATCTCTGCCCAGGTGCGCCGCCGCTCGCCCAGGACCAGCATCACGGCGGCCATTACCCGCACGACAATTTCAGGTGGGGATCGGTACGACACCAACTCGCACCAGTGATGAATGTCTATCTTCTCTACCGCCGTACGAACATCCCCAATCTGTTCCCGTGCAAGCTCCAGAGCTGCCTCGAGCTCCTGCTGCTCACGCTCAACGGCACGCCGCTTTTCCCAAAAGTCGCACGAGCGTTTATCGGCAACCGCGACATGCTGCGACAGCTCCTCTTGAAGGTCGCTCAGTTGCTCGAGGATGGCCCAGCCCTCCTCCGTGGTGGCCACTACACCGCTGACTTTTTTCTGGGCCTTCTGCACCAGCTGCTCCACCAGCAGTTTGTCCGTCTCGGGCTTGTCAAGCACTGTCGCCAACTCGCACCGCCATTTCGATGTGGTGTCGTCAAACCACTCGTACGCAATGAGGTCGCCAATGTCAACTGCCGGTGGAATTGCCTGGGCGTCGGACGAGCGTACCTGAGTGTGCGCCAATGGTGCAACAACGTGCAGCGACAGCGGTGACACCGTGACAAGTTTATCGGCCGCTACTGGTGTCACCGCTTCCCCGTCCGTTCCGTGCATCATGGGAAAATGTGACACACACACGCACAGCAAAGGAAAAAGTACAGTACAAGTATATGAGATTAGACGCGGCAATAGATTGTATTGCCCCCACGCGAGGAAGCCGGAAGCTGTGTGAAAAGTGAAGCTTAAAACTGCCTATGTACAAAAAATCAATGCTTACCTTGCAGGATTCTACTATGTCTAGTAGACATGTGCGTACACACACGACAAATTAAAAAATAAAAAGAAAGAAGTCGCCGTGAGACTGTTGCAGAAGCTATTTTGCAGCGGTGCAAAGTGGCAGGAGCACTCACTCCTCCTTGGCACCTGGGGTTATCCGTGCATGCCAACGTGTGTGAGCTGAGGTTAACACCCTCACCACACTCCACATGGCGTTAACTCGTAGGCGTTTGATGCCTTCTCCTACCCCCCTCCAAAGGAGATGCAGCAACACCACCCAGAGGGATGGCGCAGGGGGAACAGCGGGTCTCACGCACGCTGCCCAGTGGCCCGGTCGTAGAGGCGGGCGATGGCCTCCATCACAAGACGAATGCGGTACTTGATGCGTAGGGCCTCCTTGCTCAGCCGTGCCGCTCGCTCCCGCAGGAGCCTCTCCTTCTTCTGCATAAATGCATCCGCCTCTGCTGTTGACATGGACAGTACCACGCCGCACCCGAGATTCACCCATACCTGCGACGCATCCCTCACGGAGCACTGCACGAAGAAGTGATTGCCAATGTCAACCATGATCTGATTGCGCTGGGGCTTTCCCTCCTCCCCACATTCTGCTGCGGCTGCGGCTGCGGCTGCGGCTGCCACTGAGGGGGAAGACGCTTCACCCTCTGAAATGAAGGAGTGGGTTGACGAGAGTGCCCGCATCTCCTCAAAGAGCTTCCGCAGCTGGCAGCAGTCGGAGACCATCGTGTAGACCGTGTCGCGCTCCCGAAGCACCTTCTCGAGTGACTGGCGAAGAACGGCGTCCAGGAAGTGCTCGAGGCGTGCCATGCTGCCAGTCTCCGCGTCAAACGACGTGGGTGGCGCGTGGCCGCCGGTTTCCGCGAACATCGCCAACCTGCAGCGGCTACGGTGTCAACCAGGCAAAACGCACCGCCGTCTCCACCAAACCGGGAAATAAAAGAAGCAAACAACGGGCGGAGCTTGCAAAAGGGGAGTCAAAACAAAAAGAAAAAAAAAGAGGCATAACTCGCCAGAACACAAAGGGAGAGGCGGCGACGCGGCAGCGGCGAAAGGAGAAAAGGCCGGGGGACCCCACACGCCCAAGGCTCAGAGAAAGGCATATGACGTAAAAGTGGCAAAACCACTCAATCACCACCACGAAACTCAAAGTAAAAAAAAAAAGAAAGAATAAAAAAAGGCATAAAACGACGCACACTGTGGCCCATCTTCATTCATTGGCGCACCATCATTCTTACGGCTGATGTTGCTGTCACCATGCTTCATTCCCTCGCCATCCTCTCAGGAACGCACCGAAACCCACCCCCCCACCCCCCCAGACCCAAGATTTAAAAGGTTTGCCCTTTGCTGCATTGCTTCTGTATGCACGTCCCTCTATGTGCTTCTCTGTGGCAGTGTCACAGACGGATTGTTGTGAACGTTACAACTGTACGCGGCGGTACTACATGCTTCAGTGCCTCACGATCAGCGGGATCGGCCCACAGCAACACACCGAGCGGCTGGTACATGCTCCACGCAGTGTCGCTTGCGGAGAAACGGACAGGCAGGCCGGCAAGTGTGCCCTCCTGCAGAAGTCCCCTCAGTGCAACCCACACCTCCAACGGCAGCCTCGTTGTTTCTGGCAAAATCCACACGTGACATTTCGGCTCCGCGGTAGACGCCCGAGCACGACTGCGGTCCCAGCGTCGATGCTTGGACGCCATCAGGCCGCCATCTCTTATCCCCCACCCCTCAGACGTGTCACTCGCGACGTCCTCCTCGAGACGCCGACGCACCACCTCCACTGCAGCGGTGTCATTGTGGGCGTCAGGGAGCTCCAGTTTATGTATCGAAATGCAGTTGGTGTACTTTGCCTGCCAGGGATCGAGAAAGGCGGTGGCGTATGCGGGGGTGACGCGCCAGTGAAGGCCAACAAAGAGAGTTTTGCGGTGGAGCGCCCCGAGAAGGGCGTTATCTGCGAATACGCCGGTTAACCACTCGCACGGCGAGAAGGCCCCGTGACGCGGCGAGCCAACACTCCAGAGGTCATCCACGTGAAGCAGCACGAGGGCAACGAGCACAGTGGCAGCTGCACCTACTATCACCAGGCGCGAAGGCATCCGCTAAAGGCATCCTGACACACAGAGGCACACACACACAAGAAAAAAAAAAAAGGAACACCACTACTATCAGAACGGAGGCAATAACGCAGGGTAAAATACATGCTGCGAAGCGATACAACTGGGGCAGGGAGCCAAGAATAAGAGCAGAATACATATGCTGATGCTTGTGTGGGGACTGTGCGACTTCCTTCTCCCTCTCTCTCTCTCTCTCTCTCTCTCTTCTTCTA